GCAGGAAGTAAAGTCCTGGCTTGGAAAGTGTTTCGCTATGAAGGACCTGGGTGAAGCTGCCTATATTTTAGGGATAAGGATCTTGAGAGATCGGAGTAAAAGACTAATTGGACTTAGTCAGAGTACCTACTTGGATAAGGTGCTGAAAAGATTCAGCATGTAGGACTTTGAAAGAAGAGTTACCCATCCAGAGTAACGCCAAATTGAGTAAGACACAAAGCCCTAGCACTGAGGCTGAGATAGCAGAAATGAGTCGAATACCTTATGCTTCGGTTGTAGGTTCGATCATGTATGCTATGACGTGTACTCGACCTGATGTAGCCTTTGCCCTGAGGATGGTTAGCAGGTTTCAGGGGAACCCTGGCAAGTCACACTGGACTATGGTAAAGAATATTCTCAAGTACCTACGAAGGACTAAGGACTGGGTCCTTACCCTCGGTGGGAGTGATGACTTGAGAGTTGTAGGGTATAGTGATGCTAGCTTCCAGACTGATAGGGATAATTTCCGCTCTCAGTCAGGCTGGGTCTTTACCCTAAATGGAGGAGCAATTTCTTGGAAGAGTTCCAAGCAAGAGACAGTGGCAGATTCTACTTGTGAATCAGAGTATATTGCAGCGAGCGAGGCGGCAAAGGAGGCTATATGGCTAAAGAACTTCATCGGAGACCTTGGAGTTGTACCAGCTATTAAAGAGCCAATCAAAATTTTCAGTGATAGTGAAAGCGCTGTTGCCTTAGCCAAGGAACTAACGGATCACGAGAGATCCAGACACATCGACAGAAAATACCATTTTATTAGACAGCGAATAGAAGAAGGACTCCTCGTGGCAAAGAGGGTATCATCGGATGAGAACCCAGCAGATCCCCTCACGAAGGGACTGACTCAGGTTAAGCATCTCCAGCATGCTCGGAGCATAGGGATGAAGGATGATATTAGATTTAGTAGTTAGATAACCTCGAAATTTGTAAAGTGTAATTGACATTAGATGATGAATAAAAGGTGTTTTATTTATGAGTAAAGTGTTGCTATCTCTTATCAATCGTTTACTATATTTCTTTTGCATGTTTTGACTTCCAGAATAATTTTGTTTGGTATAACATATTATTCAAACCTCCACAGTCGGTCATATGTCGGAAGTAGGTATGAATCAAGACTGTCATGATTGGTTGCAGAGGTCTAAGGTGTTAGACAAGGCTACAACAATCATGAGTGCTCATAAGTTCTGAGCATTGGACTCAACCCACGCTCACTGGAATCACTTCATGGAATTCTATCTCGAGTGATCGTGAGACGGTAATATCATATAAGTCTTCAAACCTAGAGATATGATTTGTTACTTACAAGTTGGTTATGCATTGATTGTACGAAAACGCATTGGTAACTCGATGTTATAAATCGTGCTCTTGTGTGTAATTCAATGAGTGGTAGAACAAACATATGAGTCGAAGTTTATCTGTTCCTTCTTGGATTAGAAGCTGATATCTGGGCCCCTCGATGATTTTGTTTTGACCCATGTACGGGCCCGGTCAGAACTAAGTTGATGTGTTCAATTAAGTTCTTTGTCAAACAAATCGGAAATCGGAAACAAACTGTTGGACAATAAGTAAGACATTGTTCCATGTATTTGTCCGACTGATATCTAGAACAGAGGATTATATGATCACTTATCTTAAATGGCATACCATCATCTTCTCAGTTCCGAGAAACCTTTAAAAGAGCTACGATTGCGATCGGTTCCTGAAGTCATACTTGCAGTAATAGTTATTAGACTTATCCAAGTGGGAGACTGTTGGATAAGGTGTCTAAGTCCATAACTATTTCTGGTATGTACTTGACCCGACCCGGCATGGTCCATTTGGGTTGCATGGCACCATGCAATTGGATAGACTAAATGAGAGAAATAACACTTGGAGATTATTAATATATTATAAGTTCTAATATATTAATAATATTATTTGATTAGTTTGATCAAGAATTAATTTAGAATTAATTAAGTGATCAAAAGATAACTAATTAAATATATGGGTTGATTATGTAAATCATCCATATCTTGTATAGTGGGCTAAGAGGCTCCATGGATTATCAAGTTGGGTTCCACCCATAGGATGCTCCATGGGAGTTACAAACCCATGGGTCATGGAAATGAAGAGTCATGACACATTAGGGTTTACATGGTGTAACCCTAGATGTGCCAACACTATATAAGGATCTCATTCTCCACAAAAATCGGCTACTCTAAGAAAACAAGAGGGCTTGGCCGATTTCAAGAGGTGTGTGTTCTCTCATAAGTTTTTCCAAGAGCATTTGGTGTTGTGTGAAGCATTTGAGGCATCACACTTGGGGTGCTAGGCTCATAAGGTTTCTAGGAACACAAGCAACAACAAGGTAAGTTATTCTATCTATCATTCAAGTTAAAATTGTTCCCCATGTATGCTAGATAGGAATATAGCCTTGGAATTCAACTTTGCATGATAATTAGACAAACATAGATCCAAGGTTATTAGGGTTGTATGTACACTTAGGAAGTGTTAGAATGCTGAAAACCCATCAGTTGGAGCAGACCCGAGGGTTTCTGGTGTTCAACTTTGACTTTGGCGCAAGTCAGACACTTGCCCACGAATGTAGCTATCTCAGCTTTCATGTTGGGCCACCAGTATTGCTTCTTGAGATCTAGGTACATCTTGTTAGAACCTGGGTGAACAGAGTATTTGGTTCTGTGTGCTTCCTCCATGACTATTTCCCTGAATCCTCCGGACTTGGGAATCCAGATTCGATCCATGAAACATTGAACTCCGTTACCTCTGATCTCAAGTTTCTTTTCCATTCCTCTCAAGGATTCATTCGACATGCTCTCGGGTTTGAGGGCTGTTAACTGGGTTTCTCGGATTTGCATCGGTAAGTTGGAATGGATGGTCATCGTCTGGTTCTTCACTTTGTGGCCTGCACTTTCCTTTCGGCTAAGGGCATCTGCTACCACATTTGCCTTACCGGGGTGGTAACAGATTTCACACTCATAATCACTGAGTAGTTCTACCCATCGCTGTTGCCTCATGTTTAAGTCTTTCTGATTTGCTTGGATGCTAATTTGAGCAATTCCATCCATTCAGAATATCCATATTTGATCAGCTCATCCCTCTTGACAACTTCAGTGTATGAATGTTGTGGACCTTGACGAGTGATTAGTAACTTAAGAATTTTCTCATTGCGTGGTTTGGAAGCTTTAACTTTGATGATATTATCACCACACACTCGTCGTTTAAGAACATCTCCAAACCTCTTTCGATCAATCCTGTCTAGAACACTGTCAGTCTTCGGCATACTGCTGCTAGGAGAAGGCTGAGAAGATTGAGATTTGGACTGAAATTCCAACAATTTCTGCATATGAGCTTCAAAAGATCCTTTGGCCTGAAGTTTATGCTGAATGAGAGATTCATCAGCTTGAGCAATGTTCTTTAGAAGCCGAGCTTGATTAGCTTCATCAAGAATTTGCTTAACTTGATGAGAAGACATATTCCATTCAGTTGCCAAATTTGATATACTGACTATGGACTTGGGATTCTTGCAAGACGAAGATGTATCAGTGTGTGAATGAGCCAAGTCAGTACCTGCTACCTTTTGCTTGCGAGATAACGGATGAGAATCTTCACTAGCAACGTCTGAATCTTCTCCTTGGACCGGAATAATGGGATCAATAGTGGGATCAACGATTTTTATGTCTAGCCTTTGCGATTCATTATCAAAATCATCTGAATCTTCTTCTTGAACTGGAATAAAGGGATCAATGAAGTTCATATCCAGTATTTGACATTCATCATCTTGTTCATCATCATGTTCACTGTCTTCAACACGCTTTTCAGTATCTGCAGGACTATTAGGCTTCACAAAGTCAGACTCGGGCATCTGCTTTGGTGGCTCAGTCTGAACTAAGGAGTTGTCAGCATGTTCGGTGTCTTTCTCTTTTGGATTTTCATCATCATTATCATTATCAGCATTATCATCAGCATCATCATCATCATCAGTATCAGTATCTCCCTCTTTTTGAGCATCATCAGATTGAGGGCTGGAGGAAGGAGTATGCAAGAGAACTTCCTTAAGTTGATGAACACCAGCCTCAATGCGTAAAAGACGCTGACTCATGTCCCGAGTCAGTGTCAGAAGTTCATTAAATGTTGAGGCTGGAATTTGAACGAATGAAGCACCTGGAGCTGCGTGTGAGTGTGGTGGCATCCCCGGAGAAGAGTGGTCTCCTTGGGGTGGATTATCCCCCTGTGAGGGATGCTCCCCCTGAGATTGTTGCTCCCCCTGAAATTTTTGCTCCCCAGAATCAGTGAATCCTATTGAGCTGAGCGAACTTTCTCAGTAACAGAGACGGTATGATGAGAAAGTTGAGGGGAGAAATGACCACCATCATATGCTTCATCCTCTTGACCAGCAGGATCTTCATTGTTACCATCAGCTCCTCCTTCATCAGTATCAGCGGTGAGTGAAGGAACAGTGTATGGGTTTGCAATCCATTCCCTCATCCTATCAGATATTCCGATGTCAGTATCCAACGGATCATCTTGATACATTCGAATTGACATGCGAGGGCATTGAATAGGATTTCCAGAGTGCGAGAAGTAATCTGCAGCAAAGAATTTATCGAGCACGAGAGCAATCCAGCGTGGGAAGGGAACGTGATCAGCGCGTACATTTGCATGAAGAAGCTGAACAAGTTGATCAAAGAAAAAGGCCCCATAGTCAAGTCTTTTGTTGAGAAGCAGTGAGCAGACGATTTGTTGCTCATAGGTGCTCAGTTGATCACCACTTCGAGACTTATGACCCACACATTTGCACAAAGCACCGGTGAAGAACTTCCATCCTGGGGTCATACATTGCACAGAACAAGAGCTAATCGAGCACCAGCCTTTGAGTGATCATATCCCAGTTGATTGAATAGACGTCGACAGCGTTCAATAGAAGGAAGTCAAAGAATGGTTCAAAGATAGGTAACCTGAGTGCATCACTGAGAAGTTCTGCTATAATAGACAGAGTGTCTTCCACGGCCAATGGTCCCGGTGATGACATTGTTTTCATCATTGACTGTTGCGGTGTAGTAGAACTCACAGACTTGTTCAGGGAAGAACTCTGATGGAATGTCACTGATAGCGTATCGTAGGCGGCAGGAGGCTAAGAAATTAACAAAATCATCGAGTCCAAGACCTTGATGAACATCGGGAATATCAGGGTTGAAAACAACGTTGGTGGCTTTGATGTATATAGGAAGAGGAGGAGAGTTTGGGGCAGGAACTACCCTTCATGAAGTAGAGGAGAAAGTGAACATCGATGCCGCCATTAGAGAGTTTTTTTAGGGTGCTAGGGTTTTGAATATAAGTGAAGGAAGTGTAGATTGTGGAAGGAAAGTTTGAAATAAGGGCGAAAGAGGTTTAAATATGGAATGAAACGGATCTTTTAGAAAAGGTAATGATTATCTTCTTCAAAAATAACGGCGTATCGTAACAACCTATCAGATCAAAAAATAGCCGTTGAGTAAAAGAGTCGTTGACTGAAGATGAAACGTCAATCAGTGTCACAAAAGTTACATGCTGAGGATATCTCTGCGTCAATTCAAGGTACAACTTGCTCGGTTGGGGCTAGCAAGGAGATTGGTGCGTGTGATAGATACTAGTTGCATTATCTAACCATCGGCACAGAGTGTTGTGTCTTTATCAGTGAGAGGTTTATCTTACTGAATCATTAGACACTGAATGAGAAGAAGGTAAAGGAAGGATAGTTGCGTGTGATAAACCTTGGTGTTTTGGTCTAACCATCGGCAAAGATTTTTAGATTCTCATCAGTGTGTGTTTTGTCACACTGAATCACGGAATCAGTGTAAGATTGGTAAGAAGAGATAGTTGCGTGTGATAGATCTTGGTGTTTTGATCTAACCATCGGTAAAGATTTTTAGATTCTCATCAGTGTGTGTTTTGTCACACTGAATCATGGAATCAGTGTAAGATTGGTAAGAAGAGATAGTTGCGTGTGATAGATCTTGGTGTTTCGATCTAACCATCGGCAAAGAGTTTCAAGTTGTTATCAGTGTATGGTTTAATACAGTGAATCATTCAACTTTAGTTAAGAAGAGTTGAAGAAGAGAGAAAGATAGGAGATCAAACCAAGTACTTAGTATGCAAATATCATCAGCATGTCATCATCAGCAAAATGGACATCAGCTTATAAGACAATACCAAACATTAGCAAAATTAATTACAAGGTAATCATTCCAAGTTCTCCAATAATGTAAGCAGTTGTTTGAGAATCCAGTGCCTTAGTGAAGATATCAGCAAGTTGCTCTGAAGTCTTGACATGTTCAAGAACAATCTTTCCTTTCTCAACGTTATCTCTGATGAAATGATGTCTGATTTCGATATGCTTCGTTTTTTAGTGCTGAACAGGGTTTTGTGTGATTTGAATGGCACTGGTGTTATCACAATATATGGGAGTCTTTGAGAACTTGATCCCATAGTCGAGAAGCTGATTTTGAATCCATAAGAGCTGAGCACAACATCTCCCAGCTGCAACATACTCAGCTTCTGCAGTCGAGATGGCTACTGATGTTTGCTTCTTGCTAGACCAGCTGATGAGACGATTTCCAAGGAAGTGACATCCACCAGACGTACTTTTTTTTGTCTAAGTTGCATCCTGCATAGTCTGAATCAGTGTATCCAAAGAGTTCGAATGCTGAGTCGCGAGGATACCACAGTGCTAGATTTTGAGTTCCTTTTAAGTATCGAAAGATACGTTTGACGGCCATGAGATGGGATTCCTTGGGATTAGCTTGGAATCGAGCACAGAGAATGGTTCCAAACATGATGTCAGGACGACTTGCCGTGAGATATAAAAGAGATCCAATCATTCCTCGATACAGAGAGTGATTGACATCAGTTCCAGTTGGATCAGCGTGAATCTTGTCAGTCTTGGAAACTGGAGTAGAGGCTGGTTTGCAGTCACTGAGAGAATACTTAACAAGCAAGTCAGAAATATATTTACTTTGACAAATAGAAATACCTGACTTTTGTTGTTGAACTTCAAGACCTAAGAAAAAGGTCATCTTTCCCATCATGCTCATTTCGAACCTTTGAGACATGATCTCTGCAAATTCCTTGCTCAGTGTCTCATTTGGAGAGCCAAAAATGATGTCATCGACATAGATTTGAACAAGAACCATGTCTGAGCCTTTGTTTTTGATGAAGAGAGTATTGTCGATTGCTCCTCGTCTGTATCCATTTTCAAGAAGATACGATGTCAGCGTCTCATACCAAGCCCTGGGCGCTTGCTTCAGTCCATAAACAGCTTTGTCTAATCGATACACATAATCAGGGTGATCTTTGTCAACAAAGCCTGGGGGCTGATTGAGGAAAACTTCTTCTTCTAACACACCATGAGGAAAGTCTGTTTTCACATCCATCTGATAGACAATGAAATTCATGTAGGATGCGTATGCGAGAAACAGTCTGATCGCTTCAATGTGAGCAACTGGAACAAAGGTTTCTCCGTAGTCGATGGATTCAATTTGAGTAAACCCTTGAGTGACAAGCCTTGCCTTGTTGCGAGTAATGATTCCATCTTTATCAACCTTGTTGCGATAGACCCAGTTCCGGTCATGGTCTTTCCTGATGGTCTTGGGACAAGAGTCCAAACTTTGTGCCTTTCAAACTCATTCAGTTCTTCTTGCATGGCTTTAATCCAGTCAGCATCTTGAAGAGCTGTGTGTATCTTGTCAGGTAAGATCATTGAAACGAAATTAACATACATGCAAAAGTTATTAGAAACACGAGATCTGGTTCGGACACCATCATGAATATTCCCAATAATTTGATCAACAGGATGATATCGATGTTCAGAGACTGATGCTGATTCCGAGAATTTGACACTGACAAGTTATCAGTTGTAGGAGAATCTTCAGCTTCAAGAGTTTCATCAGCACCTGATGAATTATTTGATGATCTGGCTGCAGTATCTTGATTCAAGGACCATGGAACTGGAACGATAGAATCAGAAATATCAGCTTCATCTCCAGCAAGAGGAGCTTCGTCAAATGGGCAAGAGAGAAGCTCTTGAAAAATAGAGGAAGAATGAGTGACTCTTTCATCAGTGTATGATTCCTCATCAAACTTCACATGAATTGATTCTTCAATGCATTGCCTGTTCATATGAAAAACACGAAAAGCCTTTGAAATAGATGAGTATCCAACAAAAATACCTTTATCAGCTTTAGGTTCAAATTTAGATCTTGGGTCACTGATTTAGAATATAACAAATACATCCGAACACGTGAAAGAAGGATACGTCTGGCTTTCAACTTTTCAGCATTTCATATGGTGTTTTCTTATGAATCCTGTGAATTAAAGATCGATTTTGAGTAAAGCACGCTGTATTGACAGCTTCAGCCCAAAATGACATGGGAAGACCAGCATGAATCATTAGGGTCCTTCCTGCTTCAATCAGTGTTCTATTTCTTCGTTCAGCAACTCCATTTTGTTGAGGAGTACGAGGAGCTGAGAAGTTTTGCCCAATGCCTTTATGATCACAAAATTCTTCAAGAGTTGAGTTTCGGAACTCAGTACCATGATCACTTCTCAGTTGCTTAACTTTGAGACCTGTCAGTGTCTCATTTTTGCGAATCAGTGAGATAATTTCCTGTGCAGCATGACTTTTCTTCTTCAGGAAGACCACCCATGTAAATCGAGTGAACTCATCCACAACCACTAGAGTATACTTATTTCCACCTAGAGAACGGACAGGAATAGGTCCAAATAAGTCCATGTGGAGTAAATGAAGAGGGACTGATATACTGGAACATGACTTGGGTTTGAAAGAGGACTTGGTTTGTTTTCCTTGTTCACAAGCTGAGCACATCTTGTCTTTCACAACGCTGAATTTTGGGAGCCCTCTAACTAGATCTTGATTGGATATTTTGGATAGGTTCTTGAAGTTCAGATGAGAGAACCTTTTGTGCCAAATCCAGCTAAGATTGGTCTGAGACTTTGTAAAGAAGCATTGCATCAGCGCCTTGTCACTTGAGAACATATCAAGAACATATATATCATCTTTTCTACTTGCTGAAAGTACGATGTTCTTGTCAGTGTTGACAACTCTACCTTCCTTCTTTGTAAAGTGAACTTCATAGTCAGCATCACACAATTGACTGATGGAGATAAGGTTGTGTTTGAGACCCTTTACATATGAAACATTTTGAAAAAACACGTTATTGCATTTGATATTTCCATATCCTTTAGTGAACCCCTTTCCATTGTCTCCATAAGTTACTGCAGGACCAGTTTTCTTGACATAATCTTCCAGGAGAGACTTTGATCCTGTCATATGTCTTGAGCAACCACTATCTAAGTACCAAAGATGCTCCTGACCCTGCAGTGCTGAGAAACTAGTTAGAACATACTGACCCGTTCGAGGATGGGTCATTCACAAAATTATTTGATAATAGATTATAACACTCCTTAGGAAGACAGTTTAAAGAATTTGACTTAAGAGTCCATTTTTCATTTCTAACTTTAATATTATCAGCTCTTAAAGATGATTTATCAAATGAACATTCACTAATCTTATGAGAGGTATCACCACATCTGTAACAAACTCTAGTACCAAAGTTCCTCTTGGTAGGCAATTTTTTGGACTTAACACATTTCGACTTGTAAGATTCACCAAGAGAGCTTTGTGTCCTTTTGTTTATTATTGAATCACAACAGAATTCAGTGTCAGACAAATTATGATCAGTGATAGATGATGAGCTATCATCAGTGTCTGATTTGGATTTATTCACAATTGCATTGCAATCAGGAAAATGCTTAAGTTGTTCATGAACAGCATGAAACACTCCATTTGAGATAGGAAAAGCAATAATATTCTCAGTGAGAGGAGTTGATCTTACAAGATGAGCAGGTTAAGAGGTTGGGTCAACTTTGGTAATTTCAACATTACACTCAGTAACACCATTAGAGTTAGTAACATAGTATTCATCAATTAAACTCTGATTAATAAAAGAGTTACTGACAAACTTATTTTTGAAATTGTTTTTCATCTCATTCATGGAATGAAATTCAGATTCCTTTTCTTGTGATTTAAAAACTTTTTCAGCTTCTGCAAAATTACCCCCAAGAAATATAATTTGAGCATAATTGCATTCTTGTGAGATTTTGCCCAAGTATGAAGCACAGTTTGTTCTTTGATCAAAAGATCTTTAACATTATCAATTTCAGCAGACAAAGATGAATTTGACAAACTAGTGATTCTAAGATTTTCCTGAGTGGAATCAATAAGGTTATTTTTCATGGATATTTCAGTTTTAAGAAGATCAAGTTGATTTTGCAAGTCCCTTATTGTTTGATTCTTCTTAGAATTAATGACACCCAAATACTCAAACATTTTGATTTTTTCATTCATTGAATAGGAAACAAAGTTTTTAACCTGATACATTGAAGGAGAGTCAGTGTTGTGCTTCTTGGATTTTTCAACTGCATCAGACATATCAGCATCAAATGTACTTGTGCCTTTTTCAGGAACATCCGTGTCTTCTATCTTTACCATTAGACACTTGACTTCATCATCTGATGACTCCTCATCAGTCTTCCAATTTTCTTCTTCAGCAACAAGAACTTTATGTTCCAAGTTTTCTGCTTTCAGTTTCTCAATCAGCTTGTTGTACTTCTGCTTCCAGTATTCATCCGAGCCTTGTTTTTTTGTTTACATTCCTTTGCAAAATGATCAGTGCTCCCACAGTTAAAGCACTGAGCCTTCCCTTTCTTATCAGCACCATGCCTTTTATCAGCATCTGATCCTTTTGAAAACTTTCCTCCCATCTTCTTCTGAAACTTTGAGAAGTTTCGGCCTGATTTCTCAAAAGTCTTTACAATCAAAGCTGCACTAGCCACAACCTTTTCAAGATCATCAGTGTCAGTTTTAGAGGAATCAGTATCTGAATAGCTTTCAGTGTCTGAATCTGACACTAGCTTTTTGTTTGAGAACAAAGCTACAGATGATTCACGCTGAGAATCCTTCATCAGCTCCTTTCTTTGAAGCTTGGATTCCTCATAGTATCGAAGATTTCCATAGAGACTTTGTAAGTCCATAGTGTTGATCTTCTCACTATTTTTCAGCACATCAACATGGTTCTCCCAACCTGCACCCAGAGAATCCAAAAACTTCTGCACTAGAACAGTTCTATGCTTCAACTGATCTAATCTCCGCAAATCATTAACAAGAGTATTGAATCTGTTAAAGGTTTGAGTCAAAGTTTCACCTTTCTTTGCAAAAAAATGTTCATACCTTCTGTTAAGATCATTTATTTGAGTGGCCTTGACTTCTTCAGTGCCTTCAAACGACACAGTCAGAGTATCCATCATCTCTTTTGCTGAGATGCAATTCTGAACCAACCCAAAGATATTATATGGTAGAGCGTAGCTGATTGCAGCACGAGCACGAACATCTAGACCATGTTTTCTTTTGTCATCTGTCGTCCAGTTTTCTTTAGGTGTTTTCTTCATAGCACCATCAGGAACGTTATTTTTCAGAGGTTGATACATCGGGACGTATGGACCATTTTCGACGATGTCCAACATGTCTTCATCTACTGACTCTAAAGCATATAGAGCCTTTATTTTCCACATGGCAAAATTTGTTTCATCAAACGGAGGAATTTTAGCGGAAGGATGATTTGATGAGTTCGACGAAGAAGAAGATGAAGCCATTTGTTTGATAAAAGAAACCTGCTCTGATACCAATTGAAAAGGCCTTTAGATCAATCAATTTATCAAACAATAACAGTAAATAAGAATAAGAAGAATTCACGAAGAAAAACTTTCACTAAGAAAGATAATCTCACAAAGAGATTATCGTGTGCACAAAGCAGCGATTAGGGTTTGTGAAAGGCGTAACCTTTCACAAACCGATATAAAAGATTATATACTACTATTCTAGACAATCCCTACAAATCAGGGATATGCCAGCTAACTAATTTAAGCTAACTATGGAAACACGATAAGTATAAAATCTGTTACAATGCACTGACTAAACTAAACAAGCTGAGCTGCTGACACGCTGATGCTGACACTGAGATCTATTTAAAAATCATCATATTTCTAGGTTTGACCTTACAGATGCAAAACGGGAGAGAGAAGGGAGAAAAATAGCAAAGGAGTCGGCTGCCCTTGCATCCTATTTATAGTTAGAATGATTTTTTATGTTTGATAATATTTGGTTTTTGGAAAACAAGCATGGATTTCTTTTGGTAAGAAAAGTCCATATTTGTCTTCTTTGTCAAC